ATATGTTTATTATAGATATGCTGCATAAAATTCCGTAGAAGTACGTGTGGGTAGCACAAAAAAAGAAACGGGGGTGACATTTGTATTAATCGTTTATTTGTGAACAAATGAGCGAGGTATGCACAGCGACGCGATGCTCTAATCACTGCGACCTTGTCTGCGTAACCTGTCGAAAGGCGCGTTTGCGTTTTTCCGCTGCCCTTGTCAGCAGGCGAAAGTTCAACACACCCAATTTCGTCAGTTTGCATTTAGTTACTTTCGTAATTAATCCGGGTGAACGAAATTTGGTAGAAATGTGCGGAGCATAAACATAAACACATTTCTTTCGAATTGGATAAGCTGGTCAGAAGTTCACTGTTTTGGGGTAGTTTCCCCGTCGCACGACTCTCGCTTGCGAGGAACAAAAGAAAAACAAAGCAAGGAACCTGTAAGCGTGATGACCTGTGAGTGTGAGGACCTGTGGGTAAGATGAGCGTGAAGACCTGTGTGAGTGTGAAGACCGTGAGGACCTGTGAGCGGTGAGGACCGTGAGGATCTGTGAGTGTGAGGACCTTTGAGTGCGAGGACCGTGATGACCAGTGAGTGGGAGGACCGTGAGGACCTGTGTGAGTGTGACGACCGTGAGGACCGTGAGGAGCTGTGAGTGTGAGGACGTGTGAGTGCGAGGACCGTGATGACCTGTGAGTGTGAGGACCGTGAGGGCCTGTGTGAATGTGAGGACCGTGAGGACCTGTGAGTGTGAGGACCGTGAAGAGCTATGAGTGTGAGGGCCTGTGAGTGCGAGGACCGTGATTACCTGTGAGTGTGAGGACCGTGAGGACCTGAGAGTGTGATAACCGGTGAGTCTGATGGCCTGTGAGTCTGATGATTCGTAATGACCTGTGAGCGTGATGACCGTGATGATATGTGAGCGTGACGACCGTGATGATGACGGCGAGTGAGTTTTGGTTTTGTGTTGAACCGTGAGGGTGAGTCCGGGTGATGACCCTATTTTGAATAAGTCGTGATCGTGAGTGGGCGTGAGTCCTGATTGAGGAAAAAATAGTGATTGTGAGTTTGAGTGACGACAGCTTAAAATGCCGACCTATGGTGGCACCACCGGCAGTCATCACTTGACACCAGCTGATGCATGGGACGCTATCGAAGAAACATGAAAGAGTGCCGTTTCCCGCGCTTGTAAGCTGTTGTCGGCACGAAAACGTTTTGGCTACTCTTGGGGAAGCTTGTCAAATAGCTTGTGCGCAAACATTAAAACCGACAGCCCTCACAGGTTTTTTTTTTTTTTTTTTTTAATAAATATATTGTGGTCAAGAGTGAATCCGCTGGGCGAAAGATGCAGCGCAGCTCAATAGACCGATCCCACCAAGCGTTCCACGCATGCGTGACGCCGCCATAACTGTAGTTCGTAGGAGGCAGACGCCAGTTCACGCGACAGCTCATGCTGCCTCGTGGTCTCCTCGCGCAAACCTCCAGCAGGGTTGTCGCGCGTGCAGAAAGACAAAAGCTCCCACGATGCATGTCGGCAGCGGTGGCGTACTCAAACTAGCTGGTGAGATCGGTCTATTAGACACGAGTTACCTAGAGTCACCGCGGAGTCGGTGGCGCAGTTTCGATGAGTTGAATTTACCAGACGACAAGCTCGAAGGCTCCGCTACGCGGAATTCGCTCACTCCCGGAAAGCTGCTGTTAACGGGAACTCTTTCTCCATCCATCAACTTATGGACTTCACCAAGGACGTCTCACTGGCTGGCTAGCTGGGCCATGGGTGCTCCGGCAGGTTTGATGTTTTAATGGGCGTTCGAACGCTTGACTGATTCCGATTCGAAATATGGCGATGAATTAACCGCACTGATTGAATGGGTATAAGTATAACGCATACACTGAAACAGAACATTTTGGCGAGGCCAAGAAACAAACTCCGGGTCGACCCTCATTACCGGAAAGGGAAGTAACATCGAGGTCAGTATCATCATGTTTGCGCACTGAGCAATCCTCCTTGTACCTTCATCGCCGCTATTCAAACTGAAAACTATTTATTGGGCAAATTTAGAGGAAGTTTCAGCATTGAAGTTTCGCCTTCGTCTTTTTAGGTGCACTATAGCTTCACGAACTTGCTCTCAAAATTATATTTAAAAAAAAAGTAGCAACACGCTTGTCCTGCTTTTACATCTTTAGAAAAATACAGATGAAATATAGTATCAAGCTCAACAGACGTAACTGGCAGAAAGGTTTCTTCAACCGATAGTTAAAATATTTGTTACTTGTAGTAGATCCAGTTCGCCGTGCCGAAACTTATAGACGCTTTAAACACGTGCCGGGTTACAGCCGCCATTGCTGACCTTCTCTTTTCTTACCGAGATACCGATCCACTGAATCGGTCGTTGGCGAGCCTCAACAAAGACCAATGCTGGGGAGAATGACACAATAGAATCTGGGATGGCAATAGCCTGGCCTGCTGCGAAAATGATGAAGTAAACAGAATAAGAGGAAACAAGAACTGAAGGTAGAAAAAAAATGAAAGCCGTTTACAACTCCCTGTAACGCCGAATTAGAGCGCAGCTCTTGAGGAGGAGGAGGGAAGGGTACTGGGGGGGTGGGTCAAGTGACCTCGGGGGGCGGGGGGTCACGTGACCTTGTGGGAGTTACGTGACCTTGTGTGAGTCACGTGACCTTGGGGCGTCACGTGACGTCGGGGGGGTCACGTGACCTGGGGCCACGTGATGATGATGATGACGATGCGGATGCCGGTGACGTCATCAGTGACGTCACTGATGACGTCGTCAGTGATGATGACGATGACGATGCGAATGCCAGTGACGTCACTGATGACGTCATCAGTGGCTATGACGTCAACGGGGGGTCACGTGACCTGGGTAACCATCGTGACCCTCGTGAGGGTAACCCTAGTAACCCTCGTGAGGGTAACTTTCGTGACCCTCGTGAGGGTAACTCTCATAACCCTCGTGACCCTCGTGAGGGTAACCCTCGTGAAGGTAACCCTTTTGAGGGTAACTAACCCTCGTAACCCTCGTGAGGGTTACGAGGGTAAGTAACCCTCGTGAGGGTAACCCTCGTGAAGGTAACCCTTTTGAGGGTAAGTAACCCTCGTAACCCTCACGAGGGTTACGAGGGTTAGTAACCCTCGTGAGGGTAACCCTCGTGAAGGTAACCCTTTTGAGGGTAACTAACCCTCGTAACCCTCGTGAGGGTTACGAGGGTAAGTAACCCTCGTGACCCTCGTGATCCTCGTGATCCTCGTGAGGGTAACCCTCATGAGATTAACCCTCGTAACCCTCGTAACCCTCACGAGGGTTACGAGGGTTGCGGTTACGCCGACGCCGACGCCGACGGCGACGCCGACGCCGACGGCGACGCCGACGCCGACGCCGACGCCGCTCAAGCCGGGAACGGGCCCCTAAGAGCTGCGCTCTAAAAGGCTCGACGCCAATGTACACCTGCTTTAAAGCGTAATGCTGTACAACAGCGTGGTCTAAAAGCGCGACCTCATACCATTGGCAGTTGCCCTTAATGCACGAGAGCTTGTGCCGCCGAGATATGCCTTGAGAAAGGAGCCCACGCTTGTAGTCTTTCCTGTTGTACACCATAATGTGAAATAAAGTACATGGTCGGTGACAGGCTAGGAATTTAGGGCGCACTCCGCCTCCATCTTGAGTTTTTGCCTTTGGTCGCACGCGCAGCCGAAGCTCGCTGAAAGCATAGCCTCCTATAAACTGACAAAGCCCGGCAGACCGCCACGAGAAGCGGCCGGCGAAATGGAAAAGGTAGAGCGACAGACAACGGATAAGGGGAGAGCCACGTGACTGGCGCCCCGCTGCGGCGAGAAGCCGAAACACACTTCTCCCGAGCGAACAAATGTGTTTGGGGTTCTCGCCACTGCAAAAGCTGTGCGCTGACGTCCAGGTGCCCCGATAAAATGGCTCTTTGATGCTCTGTGCTAGCAGATCCTCGCGCTCCAAATCTGCGACCGGGCACTCTATGGCTCCGTCGCCGAAGTGCCAGGCTTTATGAGTATAGAGGAGGCTATGGTGAAAGGTAACAAGCTTGTGCCGGGGGCGGAGCGTCCACTCAAAGCTTACCCTGTCACCGACTATTCGCGACGTGAGCGATCGAAAGCGTCGCTGCGGTCGACCTGCCACGATTGGTCGATTGATGACTGTTGCCTGCCAGCAAAAGGATTTTTCATCGAAGGAAATAAAAGTAATGTAAGAACCTCAATTTTAACGGTGTTGGCAGTGTTGCTTTCAGAGCGTAATGATTTCAAGCTTCCACCATGCTAATTACAAACACCATGGAAGTTTCTATTCGCAAGGTAATGACGTCAGGAGAAGAAACCATAGGAGGGCGCCACCAAAATATCTCGCCGCCAATAGGAGGTCTAAACCTCTGAACAATAGCAGAAATTGTCACCGCGGAATTTGGAAGTTGAAATATTGAAATATTCGCCTTCTGTATGCTGCCGCCTTTGTCTACGAGGCTGTAGAACCTGCAGCTGTCTTAGTTCTTTTCTGTAGATTAACAATGGCCACGCATGGCGTTCATTGTTCAATGACTTATTTTTTTTTTTTTCAGTGCGATAATGTGTTTTGTTTTGCCATACGTCGGAGCGTATAGACAATGCCAGCAGCCGTCGAGGCAATTAAAGAACGCTGAAAGCGCAGCGTCATAGCATTCATTACTTTTGTTATGTATCTGTTATGGATGTTATAGATTCGATTATTCCAAACACGAAAATTGCGCCGTGACGTTGCGCTTTTAGTTCGTGTGTCTATGTGTGTGTTTATCTGTGTTGGTATGTGCGTGTGTGTGCTTTTGGTACACCATGCATTGTGCAGGGATTTCACAACTTCCAACAAAGGGCAGACTTCCGAAAGAATTTGATTGTATTGCTTTACTGGTAACATATTCGTCTTAATTTTTTTCGTCGCGCGTCGTGTTAATTTCTAATTTGCTTAGTTCTTTGTTTGTTTTCTCACGGAAAGGTGCCGCGTTGTTGCCATACAAGCCCTGACGCTGTTGCTGTCGACCACAACAGCGCTGGTGTCCGTGGCAGGAAGAGACTTTCTGGAAGCCAGCATGGCAGGCCTCACTCTCACGTACACGATGCAGGTTGTTTTACGTTCCTTCCGCGATATCACATAGTTACACTCATAAAGCTGTCCGGGTTATCAGTTTGAAGCAAAAGTGCGGTGTGCGGCATTTGAGCTAGCCCAACGACGAAGCGTCGGCCGGAGTACTAAACATTCGGCACGGAAGGCAAGGACCGTGCATGACATCATCGTTAGTGGACACCCGACCCGCCCTAAGAGGCAAACACGCTGCAGCTCGACAAGCTTCGCCGCAAAGCGTCAGACCCGTCCGTCTTTGTGTCCCGTAGTTTATAACGTTGTGAGACCCGCAAGATCTGATGCAAGGAAGGCGGCGATGCGTTGATCCACTAATTAGGACGTCTGTGGAGGGGGGGGGGGGGGGGCGGGGGGGGGGGAGAGCGGGGGCATTGTTCTTTGTATGTAAAATTGCCCATGCATTTATTTATTTATTCACATTGGAACCTGCTGGGCCCGTCTTGACATTATAGCAGGGAGAGGGTTGCATAAGCGGCGAAAAATACACATGGTGAATACGCCGCAGAAAACGATGAGAATGCCAAAAATTGGTAGTCTGTACGAACCTGTACGAACAAAAAATTACGATTGGCATGATGGCATGTTTTACTTTTAAAGGGCGGTATAGTCTCTGGGATATATAATACGGGTTCGTTAAGTATTTGACATTTTGGATTATTGCCTGGTCATGAAAAAAGTGTTAAAAATTTGTACCTCAGGTTTTCTTGTTTTTTTTGTTGTCTTTTTTTTTTTGTCTGGTAGCTAATAATGATTAGTTCAGCTCATCTTTTATTTTAGAAACGCCTTGACTCGATTGGTAATTATTTTATACAAATCTAGCGCTCCGCTTTTGTATTGCCTCTATTTTATCGATTGCTTTGTTTGTAGCAGGGTCCCGGACAATGCATGCACAATCTATAGAATTGATCGAATAAACGTAAAGTGAAGGGCGATTTTTAGTTCTTTGTTACAATAATTTGCCCAACATTTTTTTAGCCTTTTTAGTTGAATCATAAACATAAAAGTTCCACATTAAGTTTTCAGAAAAAAAATGGCACCCAAGCAATGAATGCTTGGCACGCTTTCTAATACACAGTTGTCTATCCTGTGCAGATCTCCAAGTGTTGACTAACGAGATTACTAGCGAATCGCCTATGTTTGCATTTGTTTACGCTCAGTTCCATTTTCCACTCCGTGCACCATTTTTTCATCTGAAGCAAGTCATGCTGCTATCTATATTGGTCATTGCCATCACATATTGTTCTGTGAAGTATACAATCATCGGCAAACGGCCTAACATGAGAGGATATATTTTGAAGTATACTATTAGCATTGGTCTGAAAAAGCAGCGGTCCCAACACTGGTCCTTGTGGTATGCCTGACATAAATGATAGAGAGTTTGATTTGCATTCATTCAAAACTCTCCGATCACTTAGAAATGCTTCCAGCCAGAGAGTAACATCGAAGTCAAGATTCAGGTGCCCTAGTTGGTTCACCAAGAGCTGGTGCCTTACCTTATCAAAAGCTTTGCTTAAGTAAAACAAATTACAATCCTCTACATATTATTAGACTCAACACCTACACACAGATTATGATAAAATTATGTTAACGGCATCGAACATGACGCTGTGGCTCTAAATTCATGTTGATGTTTATCAATGTAATTTTGTTCGTCTATGTTCCACTTTACGTTGGGGTATATACTATTTTGCAAACGTCTAGAGACTAGAAGCTATGCAACTCAGACGTCGGTCTGCAGTTTTCTACATTAGGTTTAGCTGCATCTTTGTGAAAGGATACCGCTTGAGCTGTTTTCCAGTCCAGGGGAATTGTATGATCCGTTAGACTCTTTGAGAATATTATGTATAAGTAGCATTTACGACCCAGGAACAATTATTCAGTTCATACGCCGAAAGGTTATCAGGGCCCGTTGCTTCGGAGGTTTTTATTTCTTGAAGAAGTTTCCGAATTTCTTTCATTCATAAGTCAATTAGGCATCTTGTTACAAAATAGGTTTGATAAAAAATGGGCATTCACGGCAGTCGTTGAGTCGTTAAAAACTGATTTAAAGTTGTTGTTAAAATATTAGCCTTAAGTTCTCACTAACCAAAATATCAATATGAAGCAATGTTGGAACGGAGGTGTCAGTTTTCTTGTTGCTTCTAACGAATTCCCAAAACTCCTTCTGATTTTCTGACAGGCTGTTGTTCAGTCTGTTGAAATATGACTCCTTGCACTTTTTAATTGTTCTTTTCAGCGTTCTGTCACTGAATACACAGAAAGTATCAAACACGTAAGGGAGGAACACAGACACACAATTCATTCAGTGAGCAACGAACATTTATCAGATGCCCATGACACTACGACCTTGAACTCCAAGGAATTGAAAGAAAAAAAACGAAAATACTCAAATTTAAAATAAAACCAAATTACTCACGAATTTAAAAAACATAACAAATTAAAATGATAGGAACATTATGGAAATTAACCCCTGAAAAAGGGGGAAAAGAAAGAAGAAAGAAAAGGAAGTAAATTAACCCCTGAAAAGGGGGAAGAAGAAGAAGAAATGAAAGGAAAAAAGGCAAAAATTAATGATTGATCAAAACAAGCGTTTTCGCGATAATTCTGGCGCGTGGAACTCCAGCTCTTTTGACGATAACGTCAAGGAAGGCGCAGAGACATTGTTCGCAGCGTATCCCTGATCTTAAACACTTCAATTATTTCGCGCCCACACTTATTTTTGTGTGAATCAAGCACAATGGAAATTTCAAAGTTTGGGGTGCAATCGTGGTAGGTACGGACATGCACAGCTACTGGGTGGAATGAGTCCGATGATGCCTTGGTAACTGCTAAATTGTGCTCCCTAAGGCGAACATTTAGGCATCTTCCTGTCTGGACGATGTATAGGCCAGACTGTGTTCGTCCTTTACGTGTTTTATAGTTTCTGTGTATTCTGTAGTTTTTCACGCGCTCTGCTACGTGTACGTGCTGTCACTGTTGAAAGTTACACTTTGTTGGAGGTGCTTATATTCTAGCAGTAGCGTTCGTAGGCTCATCTCCGAGTGGCTATTACTTTTATATCTCTGCGAACACAGGCTTTATTTAGATTTTTCCCATCTTCTATGATTTTACTTGGTACATTAATTTCAACAAGTTGCTCTATATTTTCCTTTGAAGGTGCCCCACAGGGAGTGAATATCAACTAAGCTTAATTTGTTGTTAAAGACTGCAAGGTAACGTTCGAGGTCAGCTGATATAGCATAAAAGTTGCCTTTACAATACAAATATATTTTTGTTGTTGTTGGCTTAAGAATGGAGAGCTATGTTGTTACACGGTCATGGTTACCAGGCACGACTACTGTTTTTTCAAGCAGGCCTGTCACCTTGCATAATATAAGATCAAGAATATTTTGTCGCCATGTAGAAGACATTGTCACGGACGAAGGGTGGCGAGACGATAAATAATGAACTGAAAATAAAGGTTTAGCCGTGTGTATGATCGAGAAGGAACACTTCTCCGTCCAAGCACGCGGCAATCTGACATGTTGCTGAAAATTATTGACCGTTACAAATTCCAAAAACCTTCAGTTCTCGATTTCTGTCCGAACAGCAATATCATAATCAAGCATAAAAAAACAGGCAACTTAAAATTTCCGCCTAATATTATGCAGACATTTGAAATAGTGTCGATAACAGCCTGTAACACTCTGAAAAATTCGTAGCCAGAGCTCAGAGGCCGACATATACACCAATCGCCAATGGCATTTCATTAAAGATATTTTACATCCTACTGTTTCAGCATCTAAAGGGTTAGCTAGGCGCACTCTTTGTAGGTTATCGGAGATGAGAAAGAATGCACCGCCACCGTGCCTGTGTCGGACTTGGCGATATACTGGAAAACCGCTCGGAAAAACTTCCGAATTATCAATAGAGTTATCAAGCCACGTCTTGGTTTCGAGTACAATGGACGGTTTAACCACTTAAGTAAACCACCAAAATCATCAATCTTATTCATGATGCTACAACAGTTTACAATAAGAACCGTTAAGATGTCTTTTTTACTTTACCTTTGATATGTGTTGTCGAAACGTGCGGTAAGCTACACGAAGACTCGTGAATTTCTTTTCTAGCGGGAGAAGCAGCTCAATTGCCGACAACCTCGCTCACTCTTTGATTTGCATCGTCATACCTGTAGGTTTTGTCGCCAATATTTAGTTTATCGAAACGTAATATAAAAGGTGCGTTGCTGGCCTTACCACATTCCAAAAACTTTTTTCTTTTTTATTTCTTTTTTTTTTTTGGGGGGGGGGGAGTCTTCGTTTATAGCACAGCCAGAGTTTTCAAGTTTGTGAGCTGAGCTTAGGAGAACCACCTTTGGTTTAAAAAGGCAAAATTTAACCATAATGGGTCGTTTCTTTTCGGGATTGTACCTGCCAAGGCGATGGATTATCTCGATGTCACCTGATACGATGTTAGCACCCAACTTCTCTGCGCATAGATTGCGCAGTATGGCCTTCGTCGCTTTTGCGCCAGTAAACCACCAATAGAAAAAGAAGCAGATTAAGAATTATACCTTCGAATTCTGCCCACTATTCTTTTTGCCATGCCGTTGACACCAAGGAACCGCAGGCTCGATCTGTGCGAAGGTGCCTCAAAGTCCATCTGTTTAGTCTTTTAAAGCGACAAGCTCGCTGTTCAGCTGATAATTGGGAATGCAAGCCTTCCGGCGTACTGACAGATGAACGTGCGATGGCCTCGTCTAGAGTCTTTATTCTGACATCTAGGTCAGTTAATCTACGCTCAACCTTATTTCTCTATTCCTTCAAGTTTTTGTTTATTATTATTATTTTGTTTAGGTTTGTAGATTGACCCTCCTGAAATTTCTTGACAATGTCGTGTATCCTGTTCACCAACTCCTCTTGTCACGTTGGCCCCGAATGGGACTCTCCGCCGCCGCACAATAGCAATAGCAAAACTATTTCTAAAACAAGCACCAAGGCATGACAGAGTATCTACGTTTACACAGCTACTTCCAATAGAAGCATTATAGGGAATGACAATTCTTTAGAAGCGAGTTCAGAAAACAGACTGGCGCAAATACATGGACGGGGGGTGTCGTAGAATTGATCCTCGACTCCGCCCTGAACTTGATAAATTGATACGCTTGTTGGGTCGGTGGTTTATTTGTCCTCATGTAACACCTTGAAAAGTCGCACGCCATTTACAGTTATCCTTTTATATTGCGCAATTATCGCTCTCTGTGCAGACGTTTTACAAGTCTGGACGACGTTCGGTTGGGCTAGCTCATCACATATTGCCACAACCTGTATTTGATGGAGCAAAGGACAGGTTGCCTTTGCATGGTGGAAAAACACGTTCATGAACGAGTTCACTTCGTGCTTTACTTTACTAAGCAGTTACATCGAAATTATTTGGATGTTATTTCCCTACAGATGGCAGAGGAAATGACGTACGTAGTCATGATGTTCGTCATGCTGGAAGCGAGCATGGTGGCTGTCGAGAGAGCAATGGACTATTTCGACTTACCGGAAGAGGTATTTGTGCATTTCATTTTCTTTTTTACCGCCGCACACATTAATATTTTCGGCAGCTAATTTTAGGATTAAAGGTTAATTACACACTCGTCCGTGCTCTGGGACGGGTCTGTGTCAATAGAGACCTTTGCAATAGACGCTTTCGGCATGCTCCCATCTTCTTCTGCTTAGCTGAGGAACGACTTCTGAGCATGCGCTGTAGCTCTGCCGTACGGCAGAACCTGTGCATGCTTCTACAACTCAGTGACTCAGAATTTTTCACCTGGGCGATAAGCGATGCAAAGGTATAAGGGACAGACTCTTTTAGTCGAAGAAACAAAAAATCGGTTTGTTTAGTGAACTGCCACGCCTTCGTCCCACTGCACTCAATTTCACCTTAAGTCTGACACCAACGCTACGATCTGATGGAGCCAATCAATCAGAGCGAAAACGTGCATCATCACGGCGCTCGTCGCGCTTTTACATTTTTCTATCACTGTCATCAATCACGCACAACGAATGCGCCCCGATCATATGCTTCTTGTTGTTTGCGTGATTAGTGTAGCCAGTGATAGCCAATCCACAAATGCAACGAGCAATGTGAGGACGCACTTTTGGCACTGTTTGATTGGCTTCATCGGAACGTAGCATAGGCTGCGATCCGACTTAAAAGTGAAGTGGAGTACAATAGTGAAACGGAGTATAGACCCCTTTCAAAAAATCTGGCAACAGCGAAAATCCGCTGAACGAGTCCAACAACATTGGGCGGCCGGCGCCATTGGGAAGGACCCTGTTGCGGCCGGCATGGTTGTTTTGACTGTAGCGTTCTTGTTTCGTCGTTCCCTTCGCCTCTGTATGGCTGCAGGTAGCGTTTTCCCGATCACGGGTTGGTTAAACGACCTTTCCCAGCTCCCAGCCGTTAAAGATGATGAGGTATATCGCTTCTTCAAGAGCCGATCGGACTCGGAACGACAATTCGACAGAAGTTACAACTTTCTCGATGAGGGGTTCGTGGTCGCCGCATCTATAAAGGCTAACTACGCAAGAAAAAGGTAATTACTAAGATCTTTGTAGTTACGACATCAAACATGTCATCAAAAAATGATAGGAACCGGTTATGTTTTACGGGCTGTAGTTAGAAGTCGCCAGTACTCTCCGGATGTACGACAAAACAGGCGCAGGGGTCCCGCTTCGCTGTCGCTCGGACAGTCGCGCGATGAAGCACATCGCATTAAAGCGACGAGCGAGCGACCAAGGCGATGAGCGTCGTTTTCTAGAAATCCCAAACCAAGCGACGCGACAAGCGACAGTGAAACATTTTCGTTGCTCGTAGCCGACTTTCGTCGCTTGTGCCGTCGCTTGACTCGTCGCTCGTCAAATCGCGTTTTTTACTTGGAATTAAGACCTAAAATTTCAATGCGCAAGTTAACCAGTAAAGGACGTATTCGACACAAGTTCCTACTTGATACGTCGAGTCCCTTTTTCTTGAGGGAGATTTTAGAGTTGGGAAATGTAGAGCAGCAAATTTTGCAGTGAAGCAGAAGTTGCAAGCGCGTGCATGTTGCTTTGCATAAAGCACGCGCTGCACAGATGTCTGCGCTACAGGCAGCTTAAAGCGTCAGGTCGTATGGCTTCATGCGTACCTAACATATAATTTACACGCGCAAGTTTGAAGCACCGCGAGCTCGTGCGTACCTGAAGCTAGGCGCTCGCGAAGCTGTCACGTCCACAAGCGATACCACGAGCAACATTATATTTGTATTTGACGCCTTGATTTCTTCAAGCTAGCTGAAACTTGAAAACTGTACCTCCAAACGCAATAAAGTGAGATTTAAAACACCTGACTCAAACACCCAAGGAAGCGTAGCGTGAAAACGGTTCGTGTTCCGTTTTTGCACTTCAGCAGGAAAACATTTGCGCGGCTACGCCGCCGTCAACCGATAACGAGTACATTTCCGAATACGTACCTTAATGCCAGACTTGTCCGGATACCCGCTCTGCTTACAGAGGGGTACGCAGCAGTACGTTGGCATCGTGGGCAGGAATTGACTAGCGTCTACGGCCAACGCAGCGTATGCAGCGGCGCGCACTATCCTGCAGCATGGCGGCTGCCACTAGTTGCTGTTGCGTACGACAGGTGGCGCTTTTTCATCTGATGGGTCTATAGACCAGTGTCCGCTCTGTTCCATGGTCGTCACCGTATTTGTTTATGATAACGCCATGGCGCCGTAGGGGGCTCTTTGCGCGACTCCACTTTCTTTTATGCGAAAATATTAAACGTCTCACGGAGCCAAGCCGGTGAAGCCGGCAAAAACGGCAACTTAATTCCCATTGGCTGGGCGCTGTCTGCAGCGGCGAAACGGCACCTTAATTCTCATTGGCTGCGAAAAAATTCCTCAGGGCGGTTTTTATAAACAAAGTAAAATAATGGCTTTGAAAAGAACATTTTTTTTACATTTAGGTCTGGGTGGGAATCGAATCCAGGCCTCCGGGGTGCGAGACTAGCCAACCCCACCTAGAATAATCAAAGCCTCCACATCGCCTCCTCTCCCTTCATGAAACGTCATCACAGTCGGATCGCGCTAACTCGGCTATTGGACCCGAGTCCGACCTTCGACGCGCTGATTGAACGCGAGCCCCGCCGAACACTGACGCAGCACTCGGGCCATATCTGAAGCCTCGATCGATCTGACTGTGATGACGGTGCGGAAGCCTCCTGCTCATCTAGGCGCTGTTTGACTAGCACGCTTCCCCGACGCAACGGTGGCCCCACGGTTCCGACTGAACAAAGCTGTGCCTAGTGCATGCGTCAAGCTTTCGCATTTTCACTCGTAAACAGTCTTAACTGTCTCTGCTGATATTTTTTAGAACTTTTTCGCACATCTCGTAGTGCAAGAACGTTAGAAACACAAAGTCTCAAAGCTTCTAGACAGATACAGATGTCAAGAATGCTGTAAAAAAACAAAACTCTCGACTTTGTGCCCTCCACTTGGAGCTGGGAAAGTCACACTGGGTTTGAACGCAGGCACCCTGGAGGAATGCGGAGGTGCAGCCCGCGGCTGAATGGCCCACTCGGGGTGACGTCACTTTCGGGGACTACAGCGCAGCCTACCGCGACGACGTTGAGCCCGTTCTCCGACACGTCAACTTCCAGGCCCAAGATGGCCAAAAGGTGTGGCTACGTATAGGTACACTCGTCCATAAAAGTCTTTCAAAGACGCCGCAGGCTTTGTGGCAATTGATGACAGGATGTTTTAGGTTGCTATCTGTGACGTCACCAGCAGGATTATTGATTGGCAGCTACAGGTTCGATGGTGCGCGTAAAAAGCACGGTGGAAGCTTGTAGTCATCACGACCTTAAACCACCGCCGTCGAAGTTGACAGTTTGTCGTTCCTATTATTTCCATTGATATTCCACCACCGGAATCGACAGTATCAGGGTTAGGGACATTCGCTACAACTTTGACTAAGTAAAACACTATCCTGCTTAAAATAGTCTACGACACACTAGATTCTGTAAATATTCCAAAAGGCTTAAAAGTGTCGGTGATAACACCCTATTTAAGAGAGGAAAGCAACAAGAATGTGAGGGTTGCAGGCAGATATCCATCCTACCAATTATGGCTCACACAATCGAGAAATAGGTTGAGGCATCCATGTGTAATTTTTGGGACGCATTCTTATTATTAAGCAGTGGACAATACGGCTTTCGAAAGCAACTGGAAGATTTCGCAGGCTCTATTAGCGAGACAACATTTTAGAGCCCATGCTTTTTAATATATATAGGAATGAGTTATGATATTTGCCACTACAGTAAAAAGTTTACCAATATGCGCGTGACACGGTAATAGCATTACGACACGAGAAGTGTCGTAATGCTATACATGCTATTTCAGTATTTCAGAGAAATAGATAAGCTATCTAGATGGTTCGCTGCTAGTTTTATCTCGGTGCAAAAGGAAACTTACCTGTTTCCGAAATCCTCACAAAAGTATTTTAATGTTACCAGATATTTTCCTTCATTCGACACAGTGCATTGTTGTTGCTGTAAACCCTCATCCTACGATGGTTCGGTTGAATATTTAGGTATATATATATATATATATATGAACACATGCAATGGAATTCCCAGGTTGAATTTGTAGCAAAGGAACGGTGTGCCATATCTGCATGTCTCTATAGGATGAACAGTGTTTGTAGCTTGACGATAAGGTCACTGTTGTTTATAGCTTTATCGAAATCCGCGTTTCTCTACGGCATTACACTGTACGGTCGATGTTCACAGTAAGAGTGATTCAGAGGATCATAAAACAGATGGCGAACGATATCATATGGATCATTTTATGAGGCACCAGAAACATAAGAAAAAGCTAAAGAATTGGGAATTTTATTTTTAAGAAATTTGTTTTAAGTACGTTGCACTTCAAACGAATAATTCTAATAATAACTACAAAACTCCCGTGAATAAAAGTAGAAATTTAAGACGTACTGAGAGGTACTTTATTCCAAGAATATACACACTGCACGGAAAGAAGAATCGCAACTGTTATATTCCTTTTTTATTTAATGCACTTCCAGAGTCACCAATGAATCTTACCTCGCCCAAACTATAGAAATGGTGCCAAGCATCTGAATCATAGCTACCGGAGCTTGACCGCGTTAGAATACTTTCTTTTTGTTTTATTGCATATATTGTCATGTCCAAACTTCCGTTCGTACAATTGCTTATATTAGATGTCAGAAGTCTATATCATGCTCTATAGAGCGCTCTGTAACATGTGGACTGCATAGATTAATGTTGGCGTTTGTTTGTTCAATTCTTATGCAAGTTTCTATCCACTCCGGGGTATATGTGTGTGTGCTCTTAGTTTTTGTGTTCTTTTTGTTCTTTTTTAGAGTTGTTATTAATGAATTTCACTTGGTTGCCTGGTCCCACACACAAGCACACTTCTGCTTTCGTGGGCCAGCACTCTTTACTCTGTATTTTCAATGTGAAATAAACGTTATCATAATCATCATAATCATTATTATCATCTCTTCGAATAGCCAGAACAAGGCTGCGCCGAAAGACGACATCCCTCCCAGTGGCATCAATTCTGCACTACCAAAAGCTCGCACCCCAGCGCTTACCGGGGCATCCGACATCTGCAAGCTGATCGTTGCCCCCCTCCATCTACTCGAAGAAGAGCCCTGTTTGTCACCAGGCTTAACTCGGACACCAGCTGCGCAGACATAAGTTCTCATCTCTCTTCCGTCGGACTTGAGACAGTGCAGCGCCGGAAACTGAAGATGCGCTATGACTCTTACGCCTCCTTCCATCTGTCCGTCGCTGCCGAAGACCTCGACCCGCTTTCAGATCCCACCGTGTGGCCCAAATCCTGACTCTTTAAGGCTTTCCGATGCGCCCTTCGCGAAGACCTGCTCCTCTGATTGCTTCCCCCTTGTTTTCAGGTGCACTGTCGCGATCAAGATTTTTATCCCGCGGAGCAGGACGGGGGGTGAAGTGTTGGTCGCAGTCTACAGGCGCTACCACTGAAGGAGAAGCGAAGACATGGACAAGTCTTCCGAATGTGTATGAGTCGAGATTGAATCTGCAAAGAGAGGAGGCGTTTTAATCGGTTTATTTTACCTCCCTCCCCAGACACCGCCAGATAAATTTCACAGTCCTCTTGTTGGCATAGACAGTACAGTGAATTACTTACATGGATCCGGGGCCTTAATCTTAGGGTACTTTAATGCTCCCGAAATCAAGTGACCGCAGCTTGATGTTCCTCCGCACAACTTTTACTGAAAGCCAAAGAGACACCCAGATCTTAAACTTTTCTTTTTTCTAAAATCTCACACAACACAACGATGTTATGAGCAACCATTTTAATGCTCTAGATTTATGTTTCTCGAATATGAACAGTGCATGTGTAGCACGGGGTGAACTCTCATTATTAGTCCCTCGGGATACATATCATCCTGGACTTGATATAATGTGTGTGTGTGTGTGTGTTTTAATTCTTCGGTTTGTGCTCATTCTGTAGGTTCTCCGCCGCACACCTCATATAATTTTTTGGCAGGGGACTATGTCATATGCATTATACATCATATGCTTGGATTGGGCATCGATCTTGGATTATCCTGATGTAAATGACCAGGACATACTTTTCACGCGAATTATTCCGGAGGTCATAGATGCCTTTATTCCCTTGAGGTCAGTCACTAAATTTCGCTTTTTAGCTGCTCTTCCAGTGGGCTATAAACGCTACCGAAAAGAAAGGACTTCTTTCACAGGACGTTTAAGTAAAGCGGCCTTCCAAAGTGGGAGGTAAAATTCAAGAGTTGCAGAAAGCAATGTAAAATAGTCCTAAATCGCGACCACCAGGCACATCGTTACTCAGTCAAATCAGATCTTGTCAATAATTCAAAGAATTTCTGGAGGTACATTAAATCACGTTCTGTGAGGCATATCAAGTTGAACATTGTCCTAGATAATCATGAAGCGGTTTGAAGTTTGTGCCTGAGTTAATTGCTTATCATTTTGGGTCTATCTACAGGGATAATATGCAATGTTTCTCATCTGCGCTGCCTCACTGATATGGGCTCGGTGACTTGTTGAGTTGCATTAAGGTTGATGAGGAGTGCGTACGGTCCTGTATTAAGAAAATTATAGCAACACTACCAGAAGGGCCCGATGGCATTCCATCCACCATCCTCAAAACTTATTACGACGTATTCACGCAGGTAGTGTGCCTCAGTGTTTCACAACTCCCTAAGGTTGGGAGCCTTTTCTGAAATGTGGAAAGTCGCTGCTGTTGTTCCTTGTCCTGAAGTCGGGAAAACAAGGTGATGCTCGTAGCTATAGACCGATTTCTCGTCTCTCTCCATTTTCTAAGCTTTTTGAAATGGTCGTCCATCAGTTCCTGTCTCCCAAATTTTGAAACTTGGCAACTCCCAATCAGCACGGAATTATGAGCGGTAGATCAACAACTACAAATCTTATTAGCTTTATGTCTACCGCATCTCGTGTGATATGCAACAGACGTTAGTTAGACGGTATCTACTTTGACGTAGTCAATCACATGATTCTTTTATCCACACTTTCCTCCTACGGAGTATGTGGCTCGGTACACGACTGGTTGAAAAGCTACTTGTCATAGAGAGAGAGAAAGAGGCGTACGTCCGAGTCAACAACATGAGCTCTTTGTCGTACACGGCACGCTTTGGCGTTCCTCGGGGATCTGTTTTAGGACGCCTTTTGTTCATAATTTTCGTAAAAGAAGTCTCTCTTGTTGTTTCAAATTCTTTATTTCTGCAATATGCCGGTGATATAAAAATTTATAGGGAAGGATTTGCTGAATATGATTGTGCTAAGCTTCAGGAAGATGCGTGTTCTTTCTACCGATGGTGCCCTGACAACGACACCTTTTTGAACCCGTCCTCTTGGAAAACTCACAATATCTCTTTTGCATATAATATTCATGGGGAGACTGTCTCGAGTAAGCGTAATGAAAGATCTCGGAGTCATGGTTGATCCTGGCTTGCATTTCTCTGATCATGTTGGTAAACTGGTTAACTCGTCATTGCGAATGTTGGGTGTTGCTTTTCGCTTAACCAGGCAGTTTAAAAACCCGACTGCATTTATCACATTGTACTGTTCGTTATCCAGGTCGCACTTAGAATATGCCTCAGTTGTTTGGAATAAAATTTCTAAAACTCACACCTTGGAAATCAAACGTGTGCAGAAAAGTTTGTGTCATCGTTAAACATCGCTACATTAAGGAGGACGTTCAGTGTTTTACATCTGAGGCGGCGCTAGAGCGTGTTGGTTTGCCTAGCCTGCACCAGAGTCTGGAGAACGCGGACTTACTATTTTTTTCTTTAAAACGCTGCATGGTCTCGTGATTTCTCCGAGCCTGTTATCTGAACTATGCCTTAGGTTTCCACGTGTGCCTACTAGGCTTCAGTAACTTTTTATGTTTCCGGAACTTTTTGGTCGAGTAAACTCAATAATTAGAATGGCGGAGCGCTTGAATCATTACTCTGACAAACTTGATATTTTCCATACAGGACATTTGTCCTTCCTAATATAAACTTGCCCGTTCAGGTTGAGCATTGCTCAATGGCTCTGATATGTCTGAATTTCGTCATCTACATCTCGTGCATTTTGGTGGTGCATTCGTTGTCCTACAGTCTTGTGTTCCGTGTCTGATGTTACTGCGTCGTCGTTTTTTTTTCTACTAATTACTTTTGTACTGCCTATTACTACGCTTAAAAAATTATCTTTTTTTCTTTTGTTTTCACGAAACACATCATGTCTCAATGTACGAGCCATGCATTGTGTGTAGTGAGTTACCTTTCTGTATTTTGTGTATAATTTAGTTTTATCCACCAGTGTACCAGCATTAAGACCTCAGGGTTGTTCCTGTGCATTGTAGAATAAAAACTGGTAGATTGTTTATTAATATTATAATGCGAAAGCATTAACTGTCTTATGGAGCGAGCCGACATCATTAGCTTTGAAACCGCGCCAAACGGCACCTTAAATCCTTTCTCCAATTGAAGCCAGCTCCCAGCTACGAAACCACGCGAAAAGCCTAGCCAAACGGCACCTAGTTTCCCCGATCCCAGAGGAGCGGAGTAAAGCTGATGGATTTCAGATTCGGTCCCATAGGCTGGCGCGTGTCGACGAGGCTTCCATTGGCTGCTGCGCGTCAGTTTCAACGACGGCCACCCCGTGGCGCTGCGTGTCCGCGAGGCAGCGACTCCATCGCTCCACGCTCAAACTCAGCGCGCGCGCTCAACCGTCGACGCAAGTAAAAATAAAACAAAAAAAAGGGAGCGGAAAAGCGACGTGCACGGTTTCGCATTCACAACTCATAAGAAGTGCTTAGGTGTACCTCGAGTATTATTATTAGTATTATTATTATTAGTAGTAGTAGTAGTAGCAGTAGTAGTAGTAACGAAAAAGAAATCATCATACTCGAAACGTCACAGTCAGCGCTTGGCCAAACGTGAAGGGCCGACAACAGTGACGCTTTTGGTCACGCTCGTCGCCTATACAACTTCGTAATACGACCCGCTATTACGTCCTATTGTTCACAAAACAATGCACGTTCTGGTTTTTAAACCTCAGAATTTCAGTCATGTCACTGACAGTCATGTCACTGACAACAGCGAAAATCTACCCTAAAATTCCGTGGAAGCGCTCACTTCCTACAAACACCCACAAACGCCGGCATCAGCCGAAAATATTCACCCCGCTGCGGCGGCCACGAGACCGCCAGCGGCGATGACAAGAATGTTTTGCGATAATATATGTGCTTTCTCTCTGTGCGTTCACCCTGCATTAAACGCTCTTTATTATCAGCCATCTTGGTTTTTACCGATTTATCTGGCCAAGTGCCCACGTCTAGATTAACCCAGTGCTCTGTGAAAGTGGGGTGGGCGCTTTCCAGGTATTTTCTGCTAGACACAGTTTTGTCGTTTCCGAGAAATAACGTTTCGGCGCCGGATCTGACAGAATAAAGTGTCATGACTTCGTGGTGTAAGTTTCTGGCATTCATGTTTATCAGAACCACGCAGCTGTAGCAGCTACGGCAGCTGCGGCTTTGGTGGATTAGGACATTCCAAGGTTTCGGCGTCTCCCGCTGCCGCACTGATTGGTCACGAAAGCGAACCCGAATTTCTGCCGACGCATTGCTTATTACTAGACAGTAGAATTTCCGGTGTTTTAACTGAAAAACACCGAGAGATATCCGTCGGTGTCATAAATGCAAAAAACGGTTAAGACAAAAGACCTGAGTGCATGCTGAGCTAATGACGCAGGGTCTATTCAATTCGCGAGGCGCCTTCGGCCGGAGTGTTTTGAGGTCATTCTGTAAAACTTATTAGACTATATCAAGTTGATGGACCAGGCGCATTCGCTTTTCAGGTTGGTATCGTGGGGAGGACCGGCGCCGGCAAGTCCACCCTTGCCCTCGCACTCTTCAGGATGATCGAACCCAAGACAGGGTCCATCGTTGTGGATAAAGTGGACATCGCAAAGATTGGATTGCACGATCTTCGCCTCAAGATGACCATCATTCCTCAGGTAGATGAATGGCGCAACAAGTACAGTTCGTTTCTTTTTTTTTTAGGTTCGCATTCTGATTTAAAATATGTGTTGCGAAACACAGCCCTCGAGTCTCAATGAAACCTAAAGCGACTTTAGTGGAACCCATCCACGGTTTACTCGTCAGCCAGTTTGGGTACTGCTCCACTGCTCTGACGAATCGAGGAAACTTTAATCTTTCTCGTGTACCATAGCCTCGCTGAAACTCTGCGCGTGCAGGAGATCGCACCAGCTCCCTTGTGGAGTGCCGGTTGCTTCTCGCGAATTAAAGTTATGGAGACATCACGCATGCACGAATGCTCGGTGTAGAGTTACAGTCAAGCTATGCTCCCCCTTGTCTGATGCTGCCGAGACGTTGACTCGTCCATTCGCATCACACGACATTTCTTGCCGTACCAGCGGCTCGTGGGCTCGTTCCTTCTGGTGCGTCGTTTCGAGGCACGTTTTGAAAGGCTACAGTTTCAGCATACAGGAGATCATCGCGGTATCGTTTCTCTCTGCCGTGAACTGTTGTAGCAAGCAGGACCACGAAAGGTGCTTTTAGCCTTTTTCGTCAGGCGCATCGGCCAAAGCTGGTGAGAACAGGCAACATTGATTCTACGCACCAAAAATGGCTGAAGTGATGTGACACTAAAGCGCAGTGTTGAGTGGCTTTAGATTGGTGAGAACGCTCTGTTTACAAATGCAAGATGAAAGATAAAGAATTCACGATTCGTCGTTGCTGTTTCTTTTTAATTTGAATCTAAGAATTGTTTTATTAAGTCTAACGTCCAGACGAAATCGCCTGACCGGGTCCCATCCCTCTGAGCAGTTCATCAGCAATGCTGTGCTGCTGAACTGTAAGTGGGGATGGGGCGTAGTTGATTCGGGCAGCCAGATGTAGAAGCGAAGCATCTTGGCGATCATTTCAAAGTTACCTCGAGCATGAAAAGGAGCAGTGTAGAAATGGAAATAGACGCAGAAATTAGGTGATGAGTGATAATGCTCACAAAGCACGCCGACGTTGGAGGCCACATATTCGCTGTATTTTTTGTATCCTGCTTCGTACCCGTTGTGTGTTTTCAACACCCGTCAAAATGGCCGCTTGGCATTCTGGTGCTAGCCTCGTTTATTTCTCGTAGGTTTTTCGTAGAGAGCGTTTTTTCCTCACTGTCACCAGCCACTCTTTCCTTTTTACCGCGTCTGGGCGATTTATTGTTTCGGCATCGAAACCACAGGCATTAACGGTATAGACATGCGCGCTGTTTACAAAACAAGTCAGTGTTTGCCCACGCCACAGTGTGGGTGCAGCGCGTGCGCAGAAACCAGATTCACGCGAAGCGTTTGCCCACGCGCCTTGCCGACAGCAGCGCCACCGCAGCGGCGCGATGTGAGCGACGCGTGTTGGTGATGTTACGCTTGGATGGATGGATAGATGGATGTTAATGGCTATACCCTTTGTAACAGGCGGTAGCTTGCGCCAGCTAGCCCAAGTCTAAAAATACAAACGTATGATTCCTCCCTCCGTTCTAAGACCAATGTTCTCACCCTAACTGTAACCAAACAGGACCCAGTGTTGTTTGCTGGGACGTTACGCTGGAACCTGGATCCCTTCGATGAGCACTCGGACGACGCCGTCTGGAAGGCACTGGAGCAAGCGCACTTGAAGGAACACGTCGTTGGGGAAGGTCTGGGACTCGACTACGACATTGCCGAAGGGGGGGACAATTTAAGGTAAGTCGTTCGTGCACGGTGACACTTCGCTTCCCAGGGTGTGCTACCGGGAAGGCTGAATCGACCGAGCGAGTTTATATACTTAGAAGGACCTTTTTCAACACCCCATCCGGCTACATTTCCTTAAAACGTAAGGTCCAATGCATACTCAGGGTACGTGCCCCAACAATGGCGGACTCGGATAGTTGGCCCAGCAGCTACCTGATGCCATGCAATTTTGAAAAGTGTATATTCCGTTTTGTTTATTTTTGCTTTTGTTTTGTTTGTTTAAGGAGGTAAAAACGGGGGGGGGGGGGGGGGGGGGAGAACGAAAACCTTGGAATAGTCCTTGGAGGAAAAACCTTGGAAAATCTCTTGGTGACAAAGACAGACTATGATCGCTTTGCACACGCCCCAGATTAGAGCCGCCATGGCTGAACTTCTCTTGTCTTACCGAGACGCCGAGTCACTGAAACGGGCATTGACGAGCCTCCACAAAGGCATATGCTGGGGAGAAGGACAAAGTAGAATCTAGGCTGGCAAAAAGCTCTCCTGCTGTGATAATGATAAAGTGAAGCAACCGGAATAAGAGAAAACGAAAACTGGAGGTCGGTTATGGCGGCGCCCATGCACAGCTGCTTCACAACGTGTACAGTCGGTGACACAGGTTAAGAGTTCAGGAGAAGCTTCTCCGAATTCTTTCCGTTTCAGCAGAGCGAACGCTAGAAAGATGGTCGCCTCCTCTCCACCATTCGCTCTACAAAAATGGAATGAGGTTGGAGGAGCTTCCTCTCAACTATTAACCTGTGCCACCGACTGTAGTGGCCTAACGAAGCAACAATGCCAGGGAAGAAAACTAAGGGGGGGGGGGGGGGGGGGGGGGGGGGGGACAACAGAATCCAGCTGCACATATACACCGACTCAACTCTGATTCGCCACGCCGCGGTGGTGGCGCTTCGGGCGCACTTCCGGTCTGGAGGTGTGGGCAGAAGTCGAAATGCGAAAGAGGCATTCTTCTGTTGTTTTGAAAGAAGCCAGACTAAAACCTGCCTTCTCGTCATAAGGCCGCGACTGGAGCTGCACCAAAAAGCTGGGAAAAGCGTGAAAATAAGTTTGTATGTGTTTTCTGCCTAGAAAACAGATAAAAACTTATCTCCACACTTTTCCCGGCTTTTCGGTACAGCTCCAGTCGCGGCCTCTTGACGAGAAGGCCGTTCGAGAACATGAATATAGGTACCGTGAAAAGGGACAGCGAAACACCATCGAACCACGATTGCTAGTGCGACAAGCACTTTAGGTTGATTTCACGAATACTTGTTGGTCGACAGATTTATTTTTCTGTTCCAAAATAAAGGGGGAAAACCCGTCAAGTTACCCAGACCACACGCCTACCGCATTCAGAGCGTCTTCACGTTCAAACAGCCATCTGCTCGTTCAAACGACAGTGGCCAGTAGAGAAAACGTTGCGATAAGAAGTAAGTGCAGTCCTCAAAAGAATTTTAAGTTTGAATTTGCTTGGCGTAAGTAGACTGGGTGTAAAGAGTAGATACAAAAAGATGTTAATCATTGTTACCATGGCCATCCCTGATTTGTCATGCCCGATTCCCTTGGTCTTATTCTGCTTGCGATTTTCAGTATCGACATCAAGCATCGCAGCTACCCTATTGAAACTTTTTATTTGTATGAGAAATTTCCGTGTCCAATAAACACATATGGATCATACAAGAGATATAAGAACATATAAGAACCGTATAAGAACCATATAAGAACTATATAAGATATATGAGAACATACAAGCACCATATAAGAAACTAGTGGGAGGTTTCTTATAAGTTTCTTATGTGGTTCTTATATATCTTATATATTTCTTATATAGTTCTCATATAATTATTATATGGTTCTTATATGTTCTTATATGTTCTATATATCTTGTATGATTCATATGTGTTTATTGGACACCGAAATTTCTCATACAAATGATTTTTTTTTACTAGGGTACCGTCTAAGCTTTTGCAAGCCGAGCGGCGTCGCGACGGAAAATAGCATGCAGAATCTCATCATGTGAATCAGGTTTTAGCGTGCGTTCTGCGGCGTTCACCTACAATGAATCGCAGCACGTCACATTAATTACACGAAGCTTTGAGGTATAACGAGGTTCCATAATTTCGCCCATGCAACTAGGTAGTAAGACCATTGCTAGATACATGTAAAATCAACAATTCCAACGCAAAAAAAATAATAATAACACGGCGACTTACACTAACACCGACAACATGATTCCAATGGTTTGTTGATGCGGACGTCGCGTTTCCTGCCGGGGCCGGTGGCCTGCCGCTAGGGGTACTCAGGTTTATTTTTAAATATGAGTTAGTGTAGGCGCAAGATACACAAAAAATAATCACAAACAATCTGCCTAAATTCAGTAGAGTCCTAAAAACAAGACGGAAACACCCTTACAATACGCAAAGTATACACATACAAATTTAAATGCCTGAATGTGTGCATATAATATATAAAGAATAATTAAAAAATTATTATTCGTTGTAGCTTGTCAAAGTGTGAAACGTTGAATAAAAGCGCTTACAAAGTGTAAAAATTGTAGAAATACCATAAAAAGCATCAATCACTGCTCTTGTCACAGCATTAAACCAAAAGTAAAACGCAAAAACGTTGTATAAGACATTCGCAATATAACAATGCGCGAAACACTGAAATTAGACAAGGAATTTTTATGATTAAGATAGGAATTGTGGAGTTCCTGTAAAAAAAAAGCATCGCTTATCTCAGGCTCTTCTTGGCATAGATGCAAAAGCTGAAAACAAAAACACAAAAGGTATCCAATATTTTTATGCGAAAAACGCAGGACACACTGAAATAAAACTATATAGTTGTCAACTTATTTACAGAACACCTCTTTTGATCCACATGCTGCTGCCCGTTTACATGCCCGTGCACCAATGTTTATGGGATCTTTTTGCCTTCATCGAGTGAATTGCAGTACCGTTTAAGCACAATACACAGATAGAAGCCTGATTTTATGCATGTACTGGTGAAAATGCCGATTATTTACGGTATTTTCGCTTCCCAAACTAAAAATATTTTCGAAATATCCAGGCTTCAGAGACTCTCCGCCATGCCATTTACTATCTCTAAATTCAAAATAGCTATTGAGGAAACTGCAAATAGAGGTTATGGTAAAATTAACATTTAATTTTGTTTACGCACTTCCCAATAAGTTTATGTCACATGTGTTGTATATCGAATTGGAGAATGAAATATTTCATTTTACACAAGTAACAAGGCGGTTTGTACAAAAGGCGATTAAAATCACTTTCAAGTTAAGCAGGTTGTCTAAAAACAATATTTTGCGCTTGTGTTATGTTTGTTTTGCTGGCGTGACCGGCCAGCATTTATTTCCCTCCATCAAACTTCTTATTTTCGGACTCTAACGATATGTGACGTCACATTTTCAGTGTTGCCAGTAAAACATATCAGCCTCTCAGACCACGTTTTAGACGTAAATTAAATTCACGAAAACGAAGTATTGTTACTTGTAATTTAGGTTACTAGTTCAGATAATCAGATGTGCCCATTAGTGTGTTTTGAGGCAAACCAGTGACTCGAAATTTCGCCGGTACACCGCCCTTAGCTGTTTGAGCGGGCACGAAAGTGAAGAGAACATGGCGTCGGTCCTTGCAGCGCCGGACAGAGGCAGCTTGTGTGCCTCGCGCGAGCCCTGCTAAGGCAAAGCAAAGTGCTCATCTTGGACGAAGCCACATCATCGGTGGACCTGGCCACGGACCAGCTTGTCAAGGAGACCATCCACTCGGAATTCCAAAGCACAACCATGATCACGATCGCACACAAGCTCCACACTGTCATGGACTGTGACAAGTAAGTTGCGACTTTCGCAAATCTCTCCGATGATATGTGTACACATGGCTATTAATATATTTTATGACCGGTATACATGACGCAGTATGAAACATCAAACTTTTAAGGTCCGGTCTTCTTATTCTTAATGGTGCGTATGGCATCAGTAATTAATGGAACTTTCCCATAATTCAGTCTGGACGCGAACGTTTCCTTAATTAGTGATGTCATACGTACCATTTAGAGTAAAAAGACCGGAGCCTAAAAATGGGATAGCACACAAAGTGCCAAAAATAGGCCATCTCGTGGTGGCGTAAAGTTTTGGGCATTACTGTACTAGTGTAAACGACCTACTTTCGCGGGCTCAATATTTCGCGATTTAGGTGAAAGCTCAAGTTTTCCTAATAATTCACGGGTTCTAATTTTCGCGATACGGTGGGATCTCAATATAGATTCAAATGTGTTTACATTTTACAGCAGTTGTTCGCGGGACCTATTTTTCGCAAATTGTAGTCGATTCGCGAAATTCGCGAAAATTAAGTCGTTTACAGTATCTATCTTTTCCCTCATATATATAGCTTAGAGTTTACACACAAATTAGCCTTTACATTTACTTTAGACTCTAAAAAAAAAAAGATACTACAGTGCTGCCCGAACTTTACGCCACCACGAGATGGCCCATTTTTGGCACTTTGTGAGATAGTCCTAGGATTACCGGTCCAACTACGCGGTGAAGTTTTGATTTCCCGCTCGCAACCGAGCCTGAAGGAAATATTACAAGTGCTTTAGTGACCAATGTAGTTTTGTTTTCCAAACATGTGCCGTCTGTACTCCGTTCACCCTTGAGCTGAGACTAGAAGCTCTGCCTTCAGTGAAAGCTTTCTGCCCTTACTAACACAATTAAGTGCGGTCGCGCAGGGACGCGCAACCAAAGCACAGCGGAAGCCAGCCAACTCGCGCTGAAGGCGGAGCTTCTAGTCTCAACTTAAGGGCGAACGGAGTATATTAGCTATTGTGTCCATGGCCCAGTCCCCCATTGTTTGCAGGCGTACTCTGAGCATGTACTGAACCACAGCCTCCTCTATACTCACAGAGCCTGGCAGATGGACGACAGAGCCATAGAGTGCCCGGTCGCAGATTTGGAGCGCGAGGATCTGGTAGCACAGAGCATTTCTAGGGGAACCTGGTCGTCAGCGCACAGCTTTTGCAGCTGCGAGGACCCAAAACATGGTTTTTAAATCCGACGAGAACAGAAGCGGTAGCGCGAGGAGCACGAGCGCGGACATTCCATCGCTCGGGAGAAGTTTGTTTCGGCGTCTCGCCGCAGCGGGGCGCCCGTCACCTGGCTCTCCTCTGATCCGTTGTCTGCCGGTCTACCTTTTCGATTTCGGAGGCCGCGTCTCGTGGTGAGCTGCCACGCTTTGTCAATATAGAGGAGGCTATGACTGGACGCTAAAGTTGCATCAGCGTTTGGTGTGAACTCGTCTCAGCGGGTTTAAAAAACGAGAGTGATATCAGCGTTCGACGAGAGCTCAAACTCAACCACACGCTTGGCAAAAAAAAAGGCGATTGTTAATGCTGTTTTATGGACCTTTGAAAAGGGTCTTAGGTTGAGGAGCACTGTATACTGTAATTTCAAACCAACATGTGTGCTAATCACTAATGCTAAAAAAAAAAAAAAAAAAACGTTTTTGGTGCAGAATCCTAGTGCTGGCGGCGGGAGAAGTTCTCGAGCAAGGAACACCCAAGGAACTGTTAGAAATCAAGAATGGACATTTCTTTACCATGGCAAGAGACGCCGGAGTTGCGTGAAAGTCTCAAGACATATCGTGCTTGTTTGAGCTAAGTGCGGATATAGCATTACGATCTTCAACATGTGCCGTCTGCTGTTGTTGAGGAAGCCCCTTCAGTATTAACTTCATAGGAATTTAAGTTTTTTTTTGGCAATTAGTAGGTCACAGCAAAACTCAAGGGATCATGATGAAGTCATGTGGACATAAAAGCTTGCTTGGAGCTTTTCTAGATATCGTACAAGTATTCTACCATGCTTGGATTTGGGCATGAAGCCAAACGATGCCATCGAATTTTCCGTGTGAAAGGGGATATCAACAGCGGGTACCCAATGTATTATCTACATTCTTTTTTTTAAGCCACGAGCAACTTCCATGAACATAACAGGATTCCTTTTGACTTCTTGTATTGGTAGGCAATAAACCTTTTTTTTATTAGAAAGAAATGCGTAATTTAATAAATTCTTTTTTCTGTGTGAATAAATGTCAAACGCATTAAAAATATATTCAACAATCCATTTTTCTTTCATCAAAAATCAGCTGTTATTAATCCATCTGAATTGAAGACTTGAAATAACTTCTTTTCTGATCCTAGAGCGGCATGACTCTCGTGGCACAGCTTGCGAAGCGCCTTTTTACAATTTCAAAAAGCTAAGCACAAACGGCAGGCTTCATATGGGGCAGATATTTCAGTGTGCCCATATTGCAATACTTGTTCTATTCTTTACCAGACAAGAAAAAAAATGTATTGATCTTCATTTATATTTACTGACGGACCAGAAAAAGTTGGCATTTACTTGTTTGCAAATAAAGTTGTGAGCAAATGTTAAAAGAAGCCACGATCAACAGACGACTTGTTCGCGTTGTGGTGTTTCTCAATAAGGTGCTCAACGCAATTATTGACCTTCCCCTGCTACTTATTAAAGGACACATGCAAAGGAAAAAAACATTTTTTTTAAACGGCTTAGATGGAAAAAGGACGCCATAAAACGATTTTACAACGAGGAAAAAAAAATTTAGAGCTATATTTACGGCGCAAAACGAATTTGTAGTTGGCGCCCGCGGGCACCTAGGAAAAGTGGTCCGTATTTATCACGTGACTGGTCTTTATTTATCACGTGGTGCTCGCGTTCTTTCGGAAGCTTGCTATGGCCTCTAAAAGTAACTTATTCATCTTTGTTTGAAGTATAACAAAAAACTAAGATGAATAAGTAACTTTTAGAGCCCAAAGGAAACTCATGAAAAAGAGCAAGCAGACGTGATAGACCTGTGCGCCGGTCAGACGACGGCGGCGGCGCCCCGAAGCAGACGAACTTGTGCGGCGGCGGCGACGGCGGCGTGGAGAAACGCGATGAAGCGGCGTTCGCACAACGCTCAGCGTGCGGCGGCGACGCAGCGCGGCGGCGCGCGGGCCTACCACGTGATTAGCGGCGGCTCCCGCGAGCGCCAAGTACAAATTCGTATAGCGCCGTAAATATCGCTCTAAAAAATGTATTTCTTCGTTGTAAAATCGTTTTATGACATTCTTTTTCCATCTGAGCTGTCTAAAAAAAAAGTGTTTTTTTTTCCTTTGCATGTGTCCTTTAACGTCCCCTGTTCGACGAAAACAAAAAAAAAGATATCCGCTTTTTTGACCCTGTCCAAATGAATCTGACCCCCATTGACAAGCGTGCAGCTTATGCACGACTCTTACTAACTGTAAAGTTGACTTCTACAATAATTTTTAAAAAATTCAAGAGAAATGTAATAATTTTAGCGCAATGTACATACTCACGTTTCCTTCCTAGTTATATATATATATATATATATATATTGCCTCATGACGTGCACTTTTGGCCTGCCAGCGGCTTGGGGGCACAATAAAATACACGATTGATTGACTGATTGAAAGCTTCAAACAAAGTTAATTCTGGCGTCTACCTATTGACCACTCTCCGACCGGTAACAATTGTACGCTTTCCTCCAGTGCAGCTTGCAGCGCTTCAACCCCCAGCTGGTTCTCTACACTTTATCTTCAGTGACTTCGACAGTCACATTAACTAGTCCAACCCTGTCACTTCCATCCCATCAGATCTTCTCGATGGCAGGCTGTTAGATGCACTGGAAACTGTTGGTCTCGCCCAACTTTGTAAAGCGCAGACCGCATGGCGCGTTTTTCTACACGCGAAAACGCGACGCGCTATGAACGCTCGCGCGGAAGCTGACGCGGGGGCACCCGCTTACAGACAAAGCCAAGCACCACCGGCCGCGCGTTATCAGCGTTGCCAGATAACAGCATTCTCAACACGCGATGTAAATGTTGACGCAATTACTACAAAATGAAAATTAAATGAACAAATAAGTAAATAAAATGGGTTCGTATGTCAAAAGAAACACCTTTTCAATTTTTATATGAAAATAAAAATGCTTTTGAACACTTTGAAATGTGCTGAATACGAAACAGCGTACCGCGCAGGATCACGTGATAGTTCGACCGACCCTCATTGGGCGAGAGCCGCTTCGACGCCTCGGCGCGCGCGTCTTGTTCTGGGTCGGCTAGAAACCAACTCTGACGCGAAAACGCGCGGCCGCGCGCAGGAAATGACGTCGATTTGACGCCGACGCGCCTGAATCGCGAGCAGAAACGCTCCATGCGGTCTGCGCTTAACACCCCATTCTACATTTCTCAAAACAGCAACGCTACTTTCCTCACCCTCACCAACGATCCCAACTTATCTCACCGCTGCACAGCCACATCCAGCCTCCAAGACAATAATCACCGTGCTCTTCTCACCGACATCCACTGGTCAGTTCCTACGCGAGGTCATCGAGCCACGAAGTCCCAGCAGTTCTCGAAAACTGATTTCTCTCACCTCAACCAGCTCATCCACACCGCTCCCTGGTCCATCGTGTTTGATCACCCATCGGCTGACGAGGCCTACGACCTCTGGCTCGACATATCAGCAATTCAGCACGAATGTGTTCCCATCAGGACCAACCGGACGCGCGGCAGCCGTCCGTGGATGACAAAAGTGATTGCAGCATTAATTTCCTTCGACTTCATTCATTTCATTTTATTCACCTTAAGGACGTCCGAAGGACGCATTACATGAGGGTAGATTCAAAACAAGTGGCAGAGGTTAAAAAACAAACAGGATAGCAAAACACGAAAAAGCGAAATGTGATCGCGGATGCACCCGATGTCGTCAGTCAAAGCGAAATAAAGAAAGAACGAAGCACGAACAGAGTACAAAAGCTATTATGCAAAAAGAAAATCAAGGTGAGTAATTATACAAAAGTGAACACTGGTCTGTAGATGAAATGGGATTGCTGTAAGTAACAATATGATCAGGTAATACATTCCAGTCTCTGATGTAAAGGGAGAGAAAACGATAGTGTTAGTGCGATCCGAAAATGGTTCTAGTTACCGAGAATGATCTAATCTAATCAGACGTAAACACCGGCTAGAACCTATGGATCCCACCCATGAATCTCACACATACCCGTACCGAAGCCAAGCGGCTTACTCCCAGAACGGTTACCTACAGCAGCTAGCAGCAAAAGTTTGGCAAACGAAACACGCCAACCCCAACTCTTTTGGACATATTTTCACCACCGACAAACATTATCCCAAGCGCCGGTCTTCACACATCACGGCACACCCTATTCTAACCGAGTGACGACATAGTCGAGCTCTTACCACTTTTCTCAGGCTGCAGCATGCAGTGTCGCGTAGAGTCGTTGAAAATATGAAAAAGGCCAAGCGACAGCTGGAAGCACCCAGAACTATATAAGAAGAAATGTGAACCATGACGAGGCTATTATGTGCACGAGCGTCATTTGCTGTTCAATTTTCGTAATCACTCCCCGCTTACCAATTCCTTTACTGACGGCTTCCTCCCCGATCGCTCACACACTCAGAGCTCAACGGCCGCCCTATTGGATGAGGCACACTTGCTTTCCCTATTGGACTCTTGTTTGAACGCTGCAAGCTTCATCTAAAATCAGCGCAGTAATAAGCACTCAGTCAGCAACAGCTGGCCGTCTCAGCCGGAGGCGTGGCCGGGAGTGACAACAGAAAAGGAAGAGTCGATCAAATGGCGCACATGCACATCATGCTTGCTGATAATTCGGCTTTCCTTTGTTAGATAACATCCAAAGCCACGCACGTGCTTGGCCTTTTTTATATTTGCCCCGACTGTACATCTAAAAAGTACGCCAAGTAAGGTACAAAGTAAATGAGAGGATATGTACGGGGCGTCCCCCCCCCCCCCAAAAAAAAAAAAAAGATGTACAGTTTTTCTTGTTTTTTTTTTTGTTTTTTTTTTTTTGTTTTTTGCAAAAATAAACCACTTATCGGCGAACGCTCATTTTCGACCAAAAGTAGCGCTAGAGGTTCGAACTTGATGCCAAAGTTTCAGCACAGACCGATACCTTATTCGAAATTTGTAAGTGATTTCCTGAATATCTCAATGAAAAATGGGGCCCATTTCTGTTTATTTTTGGTTTCTGGTGTAATAGAGTTTCATGTATTCGGGAGCACCGTCAGCCGTCACTTTCCTATTGAAATTTTCAGAAAATCACTTATAATTTTTTAATAATATAGACGACTGCAAGCTGGGCGACTGGCCGCCGCCATGTCTCTGCTCGAGCAGGCACGCCCGTGCGATTACGAGCTTGCCAAAGCTACGTTCACCCGCGCGTTGCACGCGCTTGCACGCATGGGGCACCACTTGTGGCGCCATGCTTGCAATTGTCTATATCGGTTCGTGCTAAAACTTTGGCATCTGTTCAGTTCTCTCGCGCTACATTTGATCGGAGAGTGTGCCTTTGGCGATGCGTGGTTTATTTTTGAGGTGAAGAAAACCCAATAATATATATATATATTTTTTTTTTTTTTTTGGGGGGGGGGGGGGGACACCCTGTACTTCAAATAAAGCAGTAAGCTCACCGGACGCAATGTACTTAAAAGGATACTAAACCGAAATTTGATTTTCGCAAATTAAGGCCACCGAAGCATTGAACGGGGCGCTACGAACTCCAAAACATCCCTCATACATCGATATCTCAAACGGATGGCCGAACTTCTGGAAAAGAAGGGCGGGATCAAGCGAGGTCTATGACGTCATGGTCCTCCTGGAACGTTTGAGAATGAGAGGAAGCGGCCTCACTTCTCTCCTTCGGTTCACCAGCTCGACGGGAAGTAGCGAGGAGGAGAGGGAAGGGGGATCGTGACGTGACTTGTCTCGTCGGCCTCGTCAGCCGTGTTCAATCGCGCGCTTCTTTTCCAAAAATACGGCGATCCGTTAGAGATATCGCTGTATGAGTGATGTTTTGGGGTTTTGCAGCGTCTCGCCTATCCTCCAGCCTTGTTTTGCGTTCTCGAAATGTCAGTTTAATATCTCTTAAAAGTAAAGTACCATAAATACAACGTACTTTCAAAGTAAAGTTCAAGCACTTTTTATCACAATCGTTCATGATGCCAGTGAACAGAACAGCGCACAAAAATACAAGGACAAAGAAAAGGAACATGCACGACACACAAGCGCTGACTCGCAACTGAATTTATACACGAAAGGAAGATAATGTCCACAAAGTTACGCAGTGCCAGAACGTGCCACACACAACATAACACCATCTAACTACTATGGTTCAATCCCACCTCCGCGCATTTTGATCTGGATGAGCATTGTACCGGCGTGCGGTCGTGTCCGTGGAGCACGTTAAAGACCCCATGCAGGCTAGCGGTTGTACCGAACTGGCTAAATTGCTCATCTACAGCTGAGAGACAAGTCGCCCTTTGAAGCAGACTAAGTCCAGGATGTTTAAACATACACATACCAGTATACTAACTAACGTGTATTTGCCCCC